AATACTTGCAGGGTATAAGAGTCTCCATGCAAAAAATATAAAGACTCTCTTGTATTTGTTTCCTATGCCAGAAACTCACAAGAAAACATAACTTTTTAGTCTCTACAACAATGGATAGGATGAGATCAGTTTCCAGAAAAACAATGTGTATACTGAACTTGGAGCTTCTGTCTAGATTAGTGAACTCAGTGTTAACTGAACAATAAGTTACACTGTGATAAATATTTTCTTAGCTTTCAGTGCTCCTGTAGCCTGTTATATATGCCCTATAAACTAGAGGAATATTTTTGTCCTATTTAGATAATTAAACTGAATTATCCTTAATCTCTTTCCTCCCTGCATATTTTCATAATTGTAAGCTCCATTTTTATACACAAATCTCATATTTTGTATCTTTAACTAGAAAACGGGCGCACTAAGTTTAAACTGTTGTAAGCTGGCCTGATATTTTAAAGTCAATCCTATAGCTGTTTGTATCTCTACAGGAAGGAACATTGAAGACCCCTTCTTTACAACTTATCACATAACTGGCTACTTCTAGAATTTCCTACACAGGCTTGAACCCAAATGGCTGATACTCAGTTTATACATTTAATACTTCCAAATAAATTTCATTTTGAAGAAAGTTATATTATTCACTCAGGCTAAAATGCAATGACATGAAAATGCAGCATGAGCCACAGCCTCAACTGATCATTATGAGCTCATGATGAGCTGTCAAAGTGCTGGTGACCTATGTGCTTTAAACACTGTGTTTTTCGGTCATTTACTTTCTGGACTCCTAATAAAAAATAATTATCAATTCCTCCTTAAAATCATTTGAAATGTCTTCAAACATTTGGGTGTAAAATAAATAAATCCAAAATAGCTTAAAGTATGGCTCCAATAGCATGTTTGAAAACTTCAAACAGGCAGGTTTTTATATAATGTAAAACATCTAGGAAACTGATAATGTTAGCATTATCCATTTCATTGAGATATCTGATAATCTCTATTGAAAACATAGAGGGATATTAGGGATAGCAAATGATATCCAATACACATTGAATTTTTGTTTTCTACCTAACGATCCACTCATGCCACAAATTTTCTTGCAGTTGCTCAAATCTTATTTTACAGTCTTTGTAGTAGCAGAGATTGTTTTCCTCAGGATCCATGTGTCGAAAATTATCTCTGACCACTTAAAGTTTGCCAGATCCTCCTGAAATTTAACATGAAAATTAGACTTTACTAAAAAATGCAGTTTGTGAAAAATATCACCATAGATAAGTGAGGTCATAAACTGGTTCATAGGATAAAATTTTGCATTTCCAGAGTCTCATGAAGTTGCACAAAGTTCATGTAAGCCCATGGTGAGATATGTAATTAAAGTGGAGACAAATTCCACAAATGTTTGAAATACAAAGTTGTAACTCTTAATGCTTTCTGGTAAACTGCACATAATTTTTGATATGATGATCAAAGGTTTTGTATATTTACATCTTGGTGAACACAATAAAATTTCCAAAAGACATCTGTTCCTTTTTTTTTTTTTAATTTTCTGTGCTTTTGATAGGCATATTTTTAAACAGTATACTTTAAGACTGTTACTTTGTAGATCTTAATTCTATCTTGTTAATTTCTAGTAAAAGCATAGACCATTTCTTCTAAGCTGTAATTTAATATGGTACATTTTTTTCTGTATGAATACATGACTCAATGTGTATGATCATTAGGCTAAACATGACCAAGAAATTTGCTGGAAAGGGCAGTGAAGTTGCTAAATACCAAGACCACAATGAAATATGATCTAAAGTAGAAAACCAAGATGCAGAGATCTAACACAAGAAGTTCTCATGTAGATTCAAGAGATTAGAAATGCAAAATACATGGTATCATCAAGCAAAAACAAAGCTTAATTGTGGAAGTCTTATCAGAAGGAGAAGGTTATGAGACAGTGGGATATGACTGAAAGGGTAATGCATTAATATGTGAACAGAGAACAGGAAAATGTTCTGCAACAGGAAGTGGGGCATTTAGCAGCTGTCATTCCCTCTAGACTTTTCTTAATCAAAGCACCCAAATCATCATTCCAGGTCTCCGTTCCCCAGCAGGACAGTCTTCTCTTCTTCCAAGGTGCTAGAGCCTGTGAACCTTGCTCATGGTTCTTGTGTCATCCTATTACTGTGTCCAGACTCCACAGTGACTTGGGGCCTCTAGATGTGGCACAGGGTACAAAGGCATGGTCATGGCTCCTGCCAGGACCATGGCATGATGTCAGGCTAAGCTTATGTTCTCTTTCTCTGCAGGCAAAGCAGAGCTTTCAAATAAGCCCAGGCAGGCGATTCCCCGCCCCAACCTCCTTGACCCAGATTGCCCAGAAGAGCCAGCCTAATGCCACAAAGACAGCCCAACTCTCTCCCTAATGAAATCACAATGTGTGACTATGGGTTACCACGGTGTAAATTATCCTTCTCTTATCTATGGAAGAGACAGGGCCCACTTCAAAAAGGGGAAAAAGTGAGTTGACACAACAGATTGTGACAGATTTATTACTATTTACCATGGCAAATATGTATCTAGGAAAACATATAAATACCTTTATCTAGTCATAATCACTGCAGAAGAAAGCTTTTACTAACCCAGTCCTTTATGACCTGTTACATGAATATGTTGAAACATGTTTTAGAGGAATCTTTTATCAGATACATCTTGCAATTTTATTTGAACCTAAAAAAAGAATAAGCGTGACAGAGATCTAAAAATATAGAATCTAGGTCTACTAGTGCCAAAGTGCTACAGTGTCTAGCACAGACTGTTTCCTGAAATCAAGTAAAAATACATATTTTGTGTGGTAATAAGGCAAAGGATCTTGTCCGTAATAAAATACAAAGAAGCTAACACACACTCAGTTAAGCTGTGATTGAAAGAACATTCACATATTTTAGAACCACCAAGTAAGTAAGTGATTGCATTCAAAACTGCTCAAACTATATTATTTTCTCTTCTCAAAAGAGAGAAACTTCCATTTTTCATTGAATTTTCACCTTCCTTCTTATCTTTCAAAAGAGAGCTATTTATCAACAAATCCCATAAGGATCATTAAGACATTTAGCCATGACAAATTCTCTAAGAAGAGTTAATCCTAAATTGACCATCAAAAGCCAAGAGTTTAAGAATATAAACAAATTTCCAATTTCTAACTTATATGTGTTAGAAAGAATAAATTACTTTTCTATATTGTAAGCATATCATAGTACACCCCCATGAACACATAAATAGCAATGAAAAAACTAGTAGAAAATGTTGCTACAGAGACCAGTTAGCTATAGAGAAATTCTTAAAAATGTACACTGAGGTAAGAGAAATGACCGGCAACGAGCAATATCTTGGCCACTCCTTAAAAATTGTGAAGATTTCGGCAAAATTTTAGCACAGGGGAAAAAAAAAAAAAAAAAAGCAAATTCATTTTGACCTGAGGCATAAACAGGATAAGATAGCTTTATTTTTCATAGCTCTATAGCATAGTTATTCTGTCACCTCAGAAAAGTCAAAGGCCCTTTAATGTATTTAATATTGTTAGGATTAAGTTCAGATATGTTCAAAATGTAAACAGCTGTGAGGGCTTTACCATTTGAAGTTGTCATTGAGGCTATTAAGATTGAAAATTTCATCTACATTAACTCTGCTTCTAACTTCAAGCTTAAAATATGCATATAAAAACCTCATTGAAGGGTATCAGTTAATTTCAAGAAACTATAGACATTGAAAGATTAAGAACAGGGTACAATTTTAAGTGACATATTGATATTCAAAAAATAACAATTTTATATGCCATTGGCAGTTTTATTTACACAATATTTTTCCATATTTATGGCTAATTTTGTGATGGTTCTTCAACATTATCAAGTCTGATTATCAGCATACAAAATTTGTGAGGTTTTCTGATAAGACTTGTTCTGGATATATTCATTTAATAATTTTTTTTGGATGAGCTGAACTGAAATCAAGTCAAACGCACAGGTGTTTGGGTTAATCTAGCACATTTGCAAAAACCCATTATTCTTCTAATTTACTAAAAATGAAATAAAACCAATATGTGAGCACTGATTGGTGATACATTTTCAGAAATCTAAATATAATTTTGTTTTAAAGTTCTTAACTTTCAATAAGGCCCATTAGCCTTTCATTTGCCATACTAGAAAATTAAGTTAGAATGCCCTTACATGTCCATTACAGGAAGGAAGAGTGGGAAACAGAAGAACGAAGGAAGAAACAAGGAGAGAAAAGCATATTTTTATTTTACATAAGGACACAGTTACTAGCCATAGATCAGTTCTAAACAAAATTAAAAACCTCCTAGGACCTAAAATTTGCTTTAAGAACTCAAATTAATGTATCATATACTTATTGTGATCACAACAAACTCTCCCTGTTTGGGGGCCTGATGCAGGTCTGCTGTGTCTGCCCACTGTTCGAGCTATTAATGACACCCAGAGTGCTTTGGTGACAGCTGGCTTCTTCCAGGCCTCACCTGGAATTATGGAGTCAACAGGGACCACCTTTGCAGCCTTTACTCAGCAACCTCTTCAGAAAATAGAGACATTCTCCCTGCACTCTGGGCTGAAACCCATGTAAATTTTTCCTAAATCCTCTCCACAAATCTCCTTTCGCATGCAAATCCATAAATCATCATAATACTGACAAAGAATTTAACCAACACATGAAACTAATACTCATCCTCTCCAAAGCCCTGTACAGGTAAAACTCCTGGAACTTCAGGCACCTTTTCAAGGCTCTCTTAGAGCTTAACTTGCTGAATACCAACACAAGCCCCCAGCCTTCCAGCGCGGGCTATTAATCACTGCAGCAGCGGTCGGGTGGCTGGACGTGTGGGTCACTCCGACCTCTTCACATTCTAGATGCACACGCTGCTCTGGGAGCATGGAACCTCATTTACTTCCGTCGCCTTCTATCGACACCAAACAGAACACAAAGAACAAGAAACAAGCAGTACTTACTGAAGAGGGCAAACCTGGAGGAACTTTTCGGACTTTCTTTGTCTGTACCTCTGAAAGAAAATGAAGAAGCGAAAAGCCATGAGCTCCCACATGCCCAATTTTCCAAAGGAAAACCTATCAAACCAAGGAGCTACTGAGGGGAGACTGGGTTTTCTTAACTCAGCACCCCGGCTTCTCTAGTTACCACTCCGTCTTTTATTCTACCAGAAATCAAATTCTGCGTTCTTTGTGAAAATGAAGATAGTGATTCTACCTTGTGACTGCTGTGGTGCTTTAAAATACAGACTTCTTATATGTGCAGTCAAGAGAGACCCAGAAATAAGCAAATACCAAAAAAGTTCTGTTGCTACAATAAGTGGTAAACATGTCCACTCAATGGCCTACTGGGGGGGGGACACCAAGCTGACAACTGACCCAAATTTTAGGGGGGCGGTGTTTCGCGGGGGGGGGGGGGAGAATAGGGG